TCTGCTGTCTGTGGCAAGATTTATCAGGGCCCTGTAAGACCTTCTGACTAAGCAAGGGCATCCCTCATTTACACCCAAAGGCTGGTTCTTGTATGTATGCTGCTTTGTTGCTGGTATCTTTTCCTCACTTGTAACTTACTGCAGTGAACGATCAGGATCACCTAAAACCAGGGAAAAGAAGGCTTTTGCATCTCTGAGTTTTGCAGGCCATAAGTGAGCCACTACCACACCCAGCTGAATGAACAATTTAAGAACAGACAGAGAAGAAGCCTCTGTTCCTTCCATCATCGTCACAATCGAGGGCACATAAAGGAAACCACCAGATAATGTGAGAAAACTAACATTCTCATAGCAAACGTCTTCATCTTCCCTGCACACAATAAAATCAGAAAGCATGGGAAGAAATGTTTAAGAAAGTGAGAGATACAACATTCAGGACTCTGACATATATTTGCTTATTTATAGGAGCCACTGCTGACAGAAGTCATTCCTCTGGGTCTTTCCAAAAGAAGCCAATCTTTACTGAAAAGAGGAACCTTCCCAAGACCAGCAGCAGCAATTACAGTGGGTGAGGTTCTTTGACACAGTCAAAGAGGAACCTCTTCAGGTGTGGTGGGAGCTCACAGGCTTAGCAACGTACCAAGGGTACATAAGTACTGCAGGACTGAAGGGACACTTGCAAAATAATCCCAAGTCTCCTGAGCAGCCGAGTTTCAGGACAAAAGCTAAAATCCCTAAGATCTAGTTCTTCTTCAGCTTCCAGACTACTGTGAGAGGGCAGGCCCATCTCCTGGGTCCTGAGTGTTGCACTTCCTGGATGTCTAAAAACCTGCCAAAATTATATGACAATTTTTGTGTCTATGAACAGGTGTTCATTTTTCTGAGAAAAGTTCCACACCATTCATCAGTGCTTCAAAGATGCCCTATAATCCAAAGATGCATTAAGGACAACTAAACCAAGTAATTCTTAAGTTCCTTTCCAGATCCCAATCATTACAGCAAGTTTTTCTGGTTATAAAAATAATGTACATTCATTGTAGAAAATTTGAAAATGTGGCCAAAAAGAAGAAAAAAAAAGCCATCTTTAAAAATATACCACAGTTTTTATCTTTATCTCTGCTGTTTTACTTTTCTTTTTATAGATTGTGTTAATCTATTTAAGGTAAGTGAAGTAAGTCCTAGGAGAAAAAAAAAAGTCCCAAAATTACTGTCACTAACATAAAAGGAGAAAGTCAGCTAAGAACCTAACTTAGTGAAGATGTATTGTACTCTGCTATTGTATAGTAAAGCCGTTAGAAATGGGAAGTAGAAATTTTCTCAATGGGATCTCTGCTTATCATGCAGGTCCTTTCATAAAGCTCTAAAACAATAACTCTGTACTTATATTTAAAATGTGACCTTTATTTAAATACTTACCATGTAAAACTTCCCATACCATTCTTTATTGTTAGAATGTTCTTTCCCAAAACTTCAGCTTGCCAAGGTAGAATATAGAGAAATTTCTTATTAGATTCATTAAAATGCCATTCTGTAACGCCAATATTACAGAATATTGAAGGGAATCAAAGATGTGGATTGTAACCAATTAGCAGTGAGACTGCTGATATCATTACAATTTTGGTACAAGATTACTGCTTTTTTAATATCCGGGTGTGACAAGTCTATTCCATAGATGTTTACTAAAAGATCTGTTCATGTTCCAGGCACTGTGCTAGGTGCTACTAGTCTAACTGAGATCATATACTTGATCTAATTCTTCCCTTGAAACTAGGAGTTAAAATAAAAAAGAAACTAGCCAGTTTCTTCTAATCTCCAGTCCTATGATTAATCTTCTGATTTTTTGCTTCATAATCCCATACTTGGTGTTTACACGAGAGCAAGAGAAACATAACCCCCACAAAATCCCTTATATCATCTTTTTGAGAACCAGGAGAATGTTGTAATAGTCCAGAGCACTCCTTGTGCTAACCTGGCTATTGGATAAGACAAGGAGAAATGTGACAGGAACAACTCTGTGCCATTTCACATGAAGCACAACATTTAATGGCCTCACAATGAATGATATGCTGCACTAGGCCATGTAAAGTAAAAGATATGCACTCTGTTCTAAAAAAACAGGAAATAATTTGAAAGAACAGCGCACACAGCATTAAGAAAGATGAAGCACCTGCAGACCATGATGTTTGCCTTAACGGCAGAAAATGAAACTGAACTACAAAATAAGATTTAGGGAAGCATGAAAGATGGGGAGTAAAGAAATCGTTTTGTGAGCAATCCCTGGGTGGAACTGCATAAAGAAAGGCACAAAAGCAAGAATAGCACATATAGTTTCCAAACTGGGAAATAGCAGCCCCAGGAACGACCCCATTGGTATTCTGTGGGACAGGCGCCCCCTACAGGAAAAATAATAACATTAATTTGCACAGGAATGTGGTCTACAAAAGGAGTTTCAACTCTCCACCTGGTAGTCTGCATCAGAGTTGTGCTCTGTAGATCATCAAAGGGGACGAGTCAGTAACATGGAAATCAGGAGGAGATGGTGACACTCAGATGGACACTGGGGGATAGAATTTTAGGGAAACACTGATAAATTCTCTGGAGATGTTAGGCTGGAATGTTTGTCACCAACACATACATTTATGCGTACATTTACTGTTTATTTACTAGATTTCTAAATTTGGGTTTGCAATCCAAAAATCTCTCTAGGGAAATATGTGCATAGGAAATGAACTGCAATCTTGTAAACCTGACTTTTCCCTGAAAGTTTATAAATACAGCCTCCTAGAAGGAATCCCTCAAATCTGCAGATCACAACACATGGCACAAGTTCATCATTCACTAAGACAGAGGCCAGCTTCTTCTCAGACCTTGTACTGACCAGGTTGATGATTCACCATCATAATCCAGGAACTGAAGCAAAATAAGGGTGAAAACCCAGAACATTGAATTGTGTCACTTAAACCAGAATACCAATCTGGTTCTAGAAAAAAACCTGTGACCTAGAAAAAATAAACACTGCAAGTATATGAAGAATATAATAGTTAAATAGCATCCTTTAAAAATTGTATTATGATACCTCAACAGGAGAAAATATGCCATTCGACCTAATTAGAATACTTCTTTTCTACTTATTTTATGTTCAACTTTTCTAGATACCCTCCTATAAAAAGCTGAGTACTGTAATAAAATGAGAGGGTTTGTAATACCTATAATGCTGTCTCCATTTCTAATCATTTGGCCTCTCTCTGGCTGACTTGCCGTGGTAGACTCCTTCATTCACACTACTGGGAATTTTGTTTATTAATATTCATTGAGCACAGATGATAATATAGGCTTGACACTAAGGACACAATGAATAAACTCATCCCTATTTGTAAGGAGCTGTTGAGGAAGATAAATAAGCCAAGAGGGAACTAAAGTTCAGTATGATAATTGTCACCCTCAGGATGAGAAGAGGGTATGAACCTCAGCCTTGAGGGAGGTGGGATCAAGGAGGGCATCTGCTCAGAGGTAGTATCTCAGTAAAAAGAAAAGGGATTAGGCACACAGGAGAATGGAAAGAGTCTAAGCAGAAGCATCCTCTCTTCAAAAACTTGGAACCAGTGAGAAAATGGTGCATACAAAAAACATATCTAGCTCCAGATAAAGAGAAGATCCTGGAAGGGTAACCAAACTACTGATGATTCTTAAGTTCTATCAAGGAGTTTCAACCCAATTCTGAGAGCAGTCAAGAGTGACTGAAGGGTTTTAAAGATGAGAAGGGTTTTGTCACCTGCAGGAAAATGGAAAGGACTTAAGAACATTATGTTAAGCAAAATAAGCCAGACTCCCAAAGTCAAAAGTTGTATGTTTTCTGTCCTATGTGGAGACTAGAGAGAAAAAAATGGAAAAAAAATAACAAAACATAGCAGGTAGAATCTCATGAAAATAGAAGGGAAGCCAATAGAATAAAGGAAAAGGTTCAAGAGGAAGGAAGAGAGGAGAAAAGGGAGAGGTACTCCCTAGTACCTTGGAATTGACCAAATTATGTTATGTCCTGTGCAAATATGTAACAATGAACCCCAATAACATATGTAATAATAATGAACCAATAAATAGAAAATAAAGATGAAAAGGGGCAAAAACCAAGACTCTAGTGCTGTATGGGAAATGGATAAGAGAAAGCCTGACTAAGACCAGAGAAACAAGCAAGAACATTGCAGCAGCAACTTTGGCAAGAAATATGAAGACCCAGGTCTTCAGGCACAATGGTGAAATGTGGAGGGACAGAATCCACCAATCCACCTGGAGTGGAAGTCTGGGGCATAATTCAAGATGACTCCCGAGTTACCTTCACTGAGATGCAGGAGGAAAAGCAGATATGAAATGAAAAGACGAGCTCTCTTCTGGGCTCACTGAGTTTAACCTTAAACTTGACTCTAAGAAATCTAAGGCTGTCCACTAAATGACCGATTGAAAAAAGATCTGGACTGGCCATGAAATCATCTGTATATGGGTGTTTCTTGATAGCGCCGGAGTCGGCAAGCACGCAGTTAGAGTGTGTGAAATGAGAAATGAAGCTCCAGAGACATTAGTCTATTAGCATTTTCTAAAAGAGAAAAGATCCCATCACCTTAAAGAAGGAGTCTAACCTCTCCCAGGACACGGGAATGAGTAATCCATTTCCTCAGCTGACTTTTAGCTGAGAATGAAAAGCAAGACCTTGGAAGCTGGTGAGTCAGGCAAATGCTGATGGCAGGGGCAGAAAGAAACAAGACAAAGATAGAAAGCAGGGTGTCCCACATTGGTTCTAGAAAATAAAGGATAAAACTGGGATTCTTGAGCAGTCAAGCAACAACTCAAGGTCATGGACCGTCACTTTACAGAAAATAAGGATGTGCTTTGTATGACTCCACAACTCCATGCACAGATCATTCTAGTCTCACAGGCTTTTGGCTATCTGACCAAAAAAAAATAAAAATTAAAAATTAAAAATAACTAACAGAACTATCCAGCAGACTCTTTATTCTCAATCTTGGCCAAGTTCCCACTGGAAAGTTTTTAAAAATGCCAGTGTCCAGATGTCTTGTGGACCCTTGTTATTCAAATTCTGGTCCACTACCAGCAGCATTAGCATCTATGGGAGTTTGTTAATGATCTCAGGTCCCATACCAGACCTTGAATCAAAATCTGCACTTTTGTAAATTCCCCAGGAGATTTACATACCCATTAAAATTTGAGTCACATTGCCTTAGAGTCACTGGAAGGATTTGTTTAAACACAGATTTTTATTTTTTTTTAGGTCAGGGGTGGAGCTTGTGAATTTGCATTTCTAACAAATTCCCCAGTGCTACCAAGGCTGCTGCAGATCTGAGACTGTGTTTTGAGAATTTCTGCCATAAATCAATTAAATTGGAATCTCCCTGGATAGGACCCAGGCACCAGTATATTTCAAAGCTCTCTAAGTGGTTCTAATTTGCAGCCACAGTAGAGAACCGCCGGTAAAGGTACTTTTATGCCCCTGATTACATAAATAAGAAAATGAATATCAGAAGCAATTTTGCTATCCTCTGAACACCAGCTTAAACTTATGACTAAACTGTTCTTTAACATAAGATGAATTTTGAATAATCAAAGGAGAAAAAAAATGCTGCTTCATCTTTAGAAATTCATTCCCACAGAAATGTTCAGTTGTGGTTGGAAAAAAAGGTCAATTTAAGTAACCACTATCTTAATCATCACAAAACCATCAACTGAATTTATTAACTTCATTTTCTGGTGATGGGTCTTGGTATTTTAGGGATCACACTATGTTTTTTAAAATCATGACTTTTTAAACGGAAAGAATGCAGTGTAATAATGTTTTCCTATCAGCCTGCAAAACCCAATCTTTTCTTTCTTCTGCTTTGAGTTTATTTTTACTGGGTGGTTTTTTTTTTTTTTGGTTTTTTGTTGTTTTTTTTTTTTTTTTTTTTTTTTTTTTTCCTTCCTTTCCTAGGTTCTTGGGGTGGGAGTTTAGGTTGCTAATAGACACTTTTCTTCTTGTTTAATATATGCATTTAATGTTTTAAACTTTCTTTTCCACGCTGCTTTACTTGATGTCCGTCCCACTGTTTATACTTCATTTTCTCCTTTATTCAGTTCAATTTCTTTATTTCCCTTGAGATTTTCTCTTTGGCCCCTGGATTATTTAGAGGTAGGTTTGCTTAGTTTCTGAGTGTTTGGAGATTTTCCTGTTGTCTTTCTCTTATTGATTTATATTTTGAGTTCATTGCACTTAGAGAATAAATAAATAAATATTTTAAGATAGGTTGAGGTTTCTGTACTGCTTAGGATCCAGCTTCTATTAGCATCAGTCCTATAGCCACTTTAAGAAAATTAGTATTTTGCTATTACTGGAAGGAGTGTTCCCTGTTATTAGATGAAGTTGGTTGATGATGTCATGGAGTTCTTTTATATTCTTTTTGAGTGAATTTGCTTTTTTTTTTTTTTTGGTTATACATGACAGTAGAGTCAATTTTGACATAATTATACAAGCATGAAATATATCTTGTTCTAACTCAAACTTGAGTACTTCTCTTTTCCCTTCCCACTCCCCTCCCCTGTTGTCTTTCCTCTATTGATCTTTCTGGTATTCACCCATAGTTATTTTTTAATTAATTTTTTGTGTATATACACAGTGATGAGATTAACTGTGGTAAATTCACATATGTATATAGGAAAGTTATGTTCGATTCATTCTACTGTCTTTCTTTCTCCCATTCCCCACTCCCTTCCCTTCATTCCCCTTTGTCTACTCCATTGAACATTTATTCCTTCCACCACACACACACTTATTGTGGATTAGCTTCCACATATCTGAGAGAACATTCACCCTTTGTGTTTGGGGGATTGGCTTATTTCATTTAACATGATAGTTTCTAGAGCCCATCCATTCACCAGCAAATTTTATAAAGTCATTCTTCTTTATGGCTGAGTAATACTCCATTTTGTGTGTGTGTGTGTGTGTGTGTGTGTGTGTGTGTGTGTGTGTGAAGCACACCTAGGTTGCTTCATAGCTTAGTGATTGTGAGTTGAGCTGCTATTAACATTGATGTGGCTACGTCATTGTAGTATGCTGATTTTAAATCCTGTGGGTATATACCAAGGAGTGAGATAACTGGGTCAAATGGTGGTTCAATCCCTAGTTTTTGAGGAATCTTTATACTAATTTCTAGAGTAGTTGCACCAATATGCTGTCCCACCAACAGTGTATGAGTGAACCCTTTCCCCATATCCTTACCAACATTTATTGTTACTTGAATTCTTGGTAATTGCCATTCTGACTGGAGTGAGATGGAATCTCAGTGTAGTTTTAGTTTGCATTTCTCCAGTTCCTAGAGATGGTGGACACTTTTTCATATATTTGTTAACCATTAATATTTCTTCTTTTGAGAAGTATCCATTTAGTTTCTTTGCCCATTTATTGGTTGGGTTATTTGGTAGGTGTTTGATTGTTTGTGTGTGTGTGTGTGTGTCTTCATCTTTTTTTTTTAAGTTCTTTGTGTATTCTGGATATTAACACCCTATGTTAATAGTGCAGATGACAAAGATTTTCTCCAATTAGGGATGCATCACAATACCAGATCTTAAAATTATAACACAGAGCTATAGTAACAAAACAGCATGGTATTGACACCAAACAGGCATGAAGATCAATGGAATAGAAGACAGAGACAAATCCACATAGAAAGAGTCATCTCATACTAGACAAAGTCACTGGAGAAAAGATAGCCTGTTCAAAATGATGCTAGGAAAACTGGAAATCTGTATGTAGTAGAATGAAAGTTAACCCCTATCTCTCACCCTGCACAAAAGGTGGGTCAAAGACCTAGGAATCCCTGAACCTGCTAGAAGAAAACATAGGCCCAAGACTTAAACATATGAGCTCAGGAACCGACTTCCTTAACAAGACTCCTAAACCACAAGAAGTAAAATAAAAAATCAATAAATGGGATGGCATCAAATTAAGAAGCTTCTTCAGAGCAAAGGAAATAATCAAGAGTTCTTTTATATTCTTGATGACTTACTGTCCAGTTGTTCCAGCAATTAGTCTGCAACTGTAATTGTGGATTTGTCTGTTTCTCCTTGCAGCTTCATCTGTTTCTCCTTCCACATCTTCAGCTCTGTCCCTGACTACATGAAGAGTTGAGTCTCCATGTCTTCCTGGTAGAGTAACCCTTCCACTCTCACATGATGCCCTTTTCTGTTGCTGGAAATTGCCTTTGCTCTGAAGACAATTTTATCTGATAGTAATATAATCACACCTGCTTTCTTTAATTAATGTTTACATCATAATATCTTACAAACAAGCTACCCCTTGAAGATATAATTATATGATTGATATATAAATTACCTGGTTGATATACAGATAGGCTAGATATACTAGAGAAGTCTGTACAAAAATTTCAACATCAGTTTTTACTCATACTTGGAAACTCAAAATATACTTTTCTCCTATAAATGTAAATTGCGTTTATGCTCTCAGTTTCATAAGCTGTCTGCTTCTTGATCATCTGACATAATACTACAAACAATCAAAGCCGCTTACAAAGTTTTGTGAGAGGTACTAAGTGTTCTACTAAAAAGTTTTTGATGTTAAATATTTAAATAGCAACGAGCAAAGCTGTAACATACTTTTCTTCAAATATCAGTAAATTCAAGAAGCAGATTATACTAATTACAATCACTGAGAAGTTACACATCATGAACTCAAATTTCTCTTTATGAGGCTTAATGTTGTCTAACGTTTTACCCCATGGGAGTTACAATATGGAAAGAGACATAAAAGATTGGGGTTGATTGGTCTACCTCACAGCAGGGCCTGCAGAATGCACCAAGTCTTGAAAGGCTGCCTTGCTATCTGATAAATTTACCTCTGGGCTGTTGCTATATTTGAGAGTGGCAAATGAAAATCTGGGAACAACAATCTTTAGAAAAAGAAACCACAGATCAGGGCTCCATGAATTCCTTGAGCACTAAATCAATCTTACTACTGGAAAAGAAATTTGGCTCCTAATCAGCCAGCTCTGAGAAACCAGCTAGCATGAATACAAGGTACTCGCATCTCAATGTTCAAATATGCAGTACCATCGATAAATGGGTAGCACAGTGTTGTAGTTAGCTTTTCGTTACTCTAACCAAAGTACCTGATGAGTACAACTTAGAGGAGGAAAGGTGATTTGGGGCTCACAGTTTCAAAGGTTTCAATCCATAGACAGTCTATTGCTTTGGGCCCAAAGTGAGGAAGCTCTTCATGGCAGAAGGGCCCTACTTGTAGGAAAGCTGCTCATTATTATCAGGAAGCAGAGAAAGGAAGAGGAAGGGACTTCAAGGGAAATGAACCCTTCAGAGCACACCCCCAGTGACCCACCTCCCCTAGCCACCCTCCACCTGCCTATAGTTACCACCCAGTCAGCCCATTCCAACTAAGATGAACTGACTCGGCTACAGTTCTCATAATTTAATCATTTTACCTCTGAACATTCCGGCACTAATAGCAGATTTTCGAGTTCACCTCATATCGGAACCTTAATACACACAGAATGGAGAGGTGAGACAAGACCCAGCAGTGGTCTGTCTAAGAGACAAATTTACGTCAAAATTGTTATGTGATGTCAGCTTAGGAACCAACTTCCTCAAAAGACTGCTAAAGCACAAAAAAGTAAAATTAGAATCAAAAAACGGGATGGTATCAAACAAAAAAAAACCCCTCCTTCACAGCAAAGGAAACAATCAAGAACATGAACAGAGAGAGAGGTGCCACCTGCACCTCAGATAGAGCTTTAATCTCCAGGATATAAAAAACACTCAAAAAACTTAACCCCTCCACCCCCAAAAAGCAACCCAAACAATAAATGGGCAAAAGAACTGAACAGACACTTCACAGAAGAAATAATATGAATGGCCAACAAATATATTTAAAAAAAAAAAACAATGTTCAATATCTCTAGCAACTAGAGAAATGCAAATTCAAACTACACTGAGATTCCAAACTCACTCTAGTCAGAATGGCAATTATCAAGACTAGAAATAACAATAAATGTTGACGAGGATGTCGGGGAAAATGATCACTCATATGTTGCTGATGGGGCTGCAAATTAGCGCAACCACTCTGGAAAGCAGTATGGAGATTCTTTAGAAAACCTGGAATGTAACTACCATTTGACCCAGTTATCCCACTCCTTGGTATATACCTCAGGGATTTAAAATCAGCATATACAGTGACATAGTCAGAGTAATGTTTACAGCAGCTCAGTTCACAAGAGATAAGCTATGAAACCAACCTAGATGCCCTTCAATAAATGAAAATGGAATATTATTCAGACACAAAGAAGAATGCAATTACAGCATTTGCTGGTAAATAGTTGGAACTGAAGACTATCATGCTAAGTGAAATAAGCCAGTCCCAAAAAACCAAAGACCCAATGTTCTCTATAATATGTGGATGTTGACATATAAGGGCTGGAAGGGGGAAGAATAGAAGCTCAATGAATTGGACAAATGAAAATGAAGAGAATGGAGGGGGGATAGGGTAAGGAAAGACAATAGAATGAATTGGGCCTAACTTTCCTAGGTTCATGTATGAATACATGACCAATAAAACTCCACATCCTGTACAAGAAAGGGCACCTAATTAGAATAAGTTATACTCTATGTATGTACAATATGTCAAAATTGTTATGCAAAAGACCAGATCCCACTTTGGGAACTTGATCGTTACCTTCACATCTATTCGTCACCTACTCTATTTCAGGTACTGTGCCAGGTAGGGTAAGGGGCTACTAATATGACTATTACTTAATCTCAAGGAAATTTAAAAATTAGTTGATGACTAAAATGCATAATAATGAAAGACATGGTAGCATGTATTTCTACTACTGGGTCTCTCAATAATGGGGTTATCTTACAAAGTCTCTGAGACAATCCCCTACTAGTTTTGGGAACCATCAAGAAGTAGCACTTTTTTAGGGACATTTTCCTTGGTCACGAATCTGTTCCCTAAAGTAGTTCATGCTGGGAGGCCTTAACTGTAATGCTAAAGTTTGCATTAAGATACAAATGTCATATATGAGGAAGAAGTGAAGGATTTTCTTTTGCTGAAGGTTTAGCATCACGGTGGTTTACTTTCACATGAACTAAGTCATAAAAAAAGAGACCCTGCTGAAATTTCTCCAAGATACTCCACAACAACAGGACAGTTTCCCCATCTGGGTATTTCTCCTGCCAAATGATGGAGACCAAATGATGGAAAAGCTCTTTCTTCTGGGTTCAAACCAGACCTTCTCTACGACTACCACGAGGAAACCCAGAGCAGTAAGTATATCTAACATTTCACTCATGTTTTGTCCCCACTTACAAAGCTAGGGGCTTGTGACTTATCCTCATATTAGAAACCCTCTTATCTGACATGTTCAGAATAGGTGGTTGACTCATTTATTAAATAAATGTATTAAAGTCAAGAATCTTCAAAAAACAATACCTTAAACATTCTTTATAAATGAAAACATTTCAATGCATTTAGCTTGCTGCTCTTTTGATGTAGGTCTTTGCTTTGAGTGTGAATCTGCTAGTTAGATTTCTACAATGTCTTTACATAAAGCCCATCCATTGTGCGTCATCCATGATTTCCAAGTTTTTGTCATTATAATAAAGTGAGAGATTAAGACACTTGGAAACAATCTGAGTTAACCATTATTCCCATTTCCCCAGTCTTTTATAGCTGTAGGTGTAGCACACCTACAGCTAACTGAACCACAATTTTTCTTTAGCAAATTGACTAGCATTCTTTTAACTTTTCATATAAACACTTCTCTTAACTTGTGAATGTCACATTAGTTTACTTTATAGTCATTTACTATATTTACATAGTATAATAGCAGTGCGACTATCATCAAAAGATTTGGAACTCCTGGTAAACAGCCATCACAAGGGGACCAGAAGCGCATGCGTGTACTGAAAGACAGCCTTCTGCAGTGTCATAGACATTACCAAGTAGATTTTATGGAAAACATAGCGTCTGCTCATCTACTCAGATGGAGATGGGATAAGGAATCCACTCTTCTTTCTTGGGCTTGTAACTCTTGTAAATTCCTGTTCATTTAGAAAAGAATCAAACAAATAAACTGCAAAAGAACCTGTTTAACACCTGCCCCGACATTACAACTAGAGAATGACCTTAATCAAAAGGCACAGATCTAAACAAAAATCTACAGGGAAGGAAGCAAAGAATTCAAGGCAGAAAACAAGGGTGAACAGAGAAAATTTTTTCCTCTGCATTCTTCTGAAGAAAAGTCATGTATGAATATAACATTTACTAAAGTAAAAAGAGAAAGATACTACCTTACCAAGTGCTGTTCACTGCCACTCAAGTTACTGCCCACAGCTTCCCAAATCATCAAAGATGGGTTGCAATAAGATGACCTTGAGAATTCCTCTCAGGTTTCTTTGCACAAACCCTGACAAGTGAATGACATTTTTAAAGAAAAACCAGCATACCACATGGCTGGTTTGGCAAGTTTATAAAGTTGTTTCAAATGCAATCACCAGTTTTGAGATTTAAAAAGCATTTTTAAATGTCTTATAGTACACAGACAAAAGGAACAAAGTGAGTTCAGTGTCTCTAACCAAATAAAAAGCTTTGAAGAAGTAGCTGGCATCAGTAAACATGTTCTGACTGGATGATTTAAGCAGGGCACCCATTTAATACTACAGTTGCTCCTCCATAGCTACATTCAATCTGCATCACAAGGATCCAGAAAACGTACTCATTCTAAAAAGTACCTTAGGAACTCTTCAAGAAATAGCAGAAATTAGTTCATTTCCTTAGTGACAGAAGAGAATTAAGTCACCCTAGAAGGGGCAATGTGGTTTTACCAGTCCCACAAAATGTAACAAGCAACTATAGATAATAAGCAATATTTTCTAAACAAGTAGCAACCTCAAGGATCATTTACAACAATGATAAAACCAAATAGAAGACCTTCCTTCATGCATTTGATCTCCATAGACACTTATTCTCCGTAAGTTGGGAGACACTTGTTTACATAAAATAAAACTCCAGCTAGTGAAAAATGTGTATCAGAATACCTGCAAATGATATTTTTGCAGAAACTGTACAATAATAGAGGTGGCCAATGTGTGATTCGTCACTGGCCATTTTTAAGCTCCAGCCCATTACGCTGACTACCATTATAGTTATTTAAGCATGAAATGTTTGCCCTCATTTTTATTCATATGCTTCATGGGCCATTTGTTGTCAGCTATAAAATCATTTACAAGGTAATGGAGTTTACAGTTGAGAAAAACAAGAAGCCTCCTAAACAATCTCAGAATATTGACTTAGTGTCAGGCAGGTGGCATGAACTTAAATTGAATGTGAAACTGGAGTAAAAGGTGACTTTTTAACAAGCACTTTCTTAAAAATAAATGAGCAAGGGCTCTGCAGATGTTCAGGTATTGTTTCCCCTTTAATAAGAAAGAGCTTAGCCATAGAGGGATGAGAACTTGGAAATAACCTGCAAAGTCTTCACAGTTCACACACCACAACTGGAAAAATTGGGCAAGACAAGACTAATGTGAAATAGAATACCATATCTCACAACCACGCCGTCTACTAGAAATGTTCTATTTTCCAATAAACATAAAAAGTAAGACATTTCAAAAAATCTGTAATGCCTACCATGTGTGTGCAGGCACCATTCTAGATACCACAGAGGGATATGAAGATGACAAGAACTTAGTTTTAAGATAAATACATGAATAACTTTAGCACAAAGTAGACTACAGCAGTGCTACAAACAAAACGTATTCATGCTGTAATGTGAAGCTCACTAGTTGTCAGGTCCAGCCAAGAGAATGAGTTCCACCCCAGTGCTGCTGTGTAGGGGAGGCGCCCCCTGCAGGCCTAAGAGTGCCACTGCATACATATGCTTCCTCCACTACCTGGAAGCTCTTTGAAGAACTGAAGTTTTTATTTATTCTGGGTTCCTAGCACTTAGATAATATCTAGGACATAAAAAGAAGTTACTAAGTGTAAAATGAAACCATTTAAATTAAATTTCCTCCATCCAGAATTGGCCACTATTCCTTCTTCCCCTTTCTCTACATGTATCTGTTCACGTTTCTAACACATGAAATATAAAATTTCTAAATATAAAAATTCTATCCAGCTTAAAATGCTGATTCTTCATTATAGAAATATCTCATTTACGTCAAGTTTTCACCCCAGGCAGAAATGTTATAACTTTTCTCTGGATTTTTCTATAATTCATATCCTTCAATCTTCTAAAATGGTTTGAAATGACTAGGTTCTTAAATCAATTGTTGCATCTAAGTCTCATTTGACACTACTCCCCCAAAAAAGTTTTGTTTGACTATTGCTATGTGTAAACGTTTGCTTTTATGTATAAGCTCCTAGAGGAAACCATTTGGCTCCTTCGTGAGGCCTCCAGCACCCTCAGGAAACATCCATTTACTGATTTAACAAGAACTTATTTAGCATCAATATTGTTCCTGAAGCTAAATAAAATATTGATTAAATGAAATCATATTTCCAGAGATGTTTGAAAGATCCTTAGCCTTTGCAAACACTTATCTCTTCTAACTCGGTGCTGTTTTGCTCAAAGGCTACTGGCACCCTGACTAAGACTAAATACTCCATTTACTTTTTGCCTTAAACCTTCAAGTACTGTCTTTCTCTGAGTCATCTGCCTCCTGGATAACATTACAGACAACACAGACTGATAAACCTTTATCCATGCCTTATCTTACATCAAAGAGAGTATAAAGTTCAATGAAAAATAGTAAGCTTCTTTATGATTCTTCCTTAACTTGTACACAGGAGATTCCTAGATTCAAAATGCAAAAGTCCTTTTTTTTCCCCCATGAAAATTTCATGTCTCTTCATTTGGTCCTTCATATTCCTAACATAGCAAAATAAAAACAAAATGGTGAGAACACTAACTGTTTAGCTTTTAGCTCATTGCTGGATGCATAGTAAAGACTGGACCAAAAAAAAAAAATAGTTAACTATTTTTAATAGTAATAAACAGGCAAAAAGTTTGTTAACTCTAAGGAATCTTGTACATAAGTGGATATTTTGTTTCACAGACAGTTCTCATGTAATCAGAGATTTCAAAAGTCAACATTCAGAAAAGTTTATTTTAAAAAATTTAAGAGCCACGCTGGGCGGTCTGTAGTGGGAATTTTACATGCATTCATTTTGAAGTTTCTCATTTACAAGAGATCATTTGTGTTTCCTTCAGAGAACATAAAGCACCTTTGTTACTTTTAATCACATGTCAATGGTTTCATTCTCGACACCATGACCATCCCAACAAGAACATCAGCAATCACAACAGGATATGAGTATCTCACTTGAGCACTTCATAGTCACCAGATTGCATCATGTGTACCTCATATTTCTGAGAATTCATCCTCCAATCTTATAGATTGCTAATTTTCATATTAAACTAAAGCTGCTGATTCACCTAAGAGAAAACAAAGAAAGAACATGTACAATTATCTTTGAATCAACAGCTGCTATGCCCACTGAAATATTCCCCCTGTCTCACATTGGAACACCATCGCTCTGCTTTTGCAACTAAAAGGAGATTGTTCTAAATGCAGATGATGGGAAGGATAAATCATCTTACTTTCAAGTCTTCCCCAGAGTGATTTAAAGGAAAATGTTTTAGAAAATGTTTATAACATTTACATTTGGGTGTTGTTTTTTTTTTTTTTGAAACACTAAAAAAATCCAATGTAGAATGCTTATAAAACTCCTTGAAGACCCCAAAACACAACAAAAATGCCAGGTCCAGTATAAGTGAATTAAATGTATCTATGGAAATTCAAAATAAAGACAATTTGCTCTGATTAAAAAAAAAACACTCTGGAGTAAATTTCAAACAACTTGAGTGATCCTAGAAATCATTATAATCTCTCACCATCTGTGTCTTCTGACTTCTCCATTCCTAACTTCTGTTCAGTTTTTCTCGTCACAGCCCCAAAGTGAAAAGCCTATTTTAAAGGTTATCCTCTCTTTTCCCACCTCTGTTGGGCAGACTTCCCTACTATTATAATAGCAATTAAAAATAATAATAACTCTAGCCTACCAATGACTGAGATTGTTACAGATCTCCTACTGGACCATCCTCTGATTAAATGTTTGAAGCTCAATTAAAATGCAAATTAACTGTAGACTATATAGTAATTACAGCAATAGCAGGACAGGAAAAAAAGTTTTGTCCAAGAATGCAAATCTTTGGAACTGTAATTAAATGTGTAATTGTTTCTATTTTACAGAAATTTCTATGACCTGGAAAGGGACCAGGAAATCCTAGCTAAAATGGTGTCCGATTAGTATATTGCAATCTGGCGGAAAAAAGTCACCTTAGAGACACAACAGTTTTAACCATGTATCTTTTATGTCCTGTCACTGAGCTAATTTTTCTTGAATTGTTAAATTGGGTGGGTTAACATAGCAAAACCCTTTTAGTTCTTTTGGGAAAGGTTCAGGTCACTTGATGACCTTCAATAATTTATCAATGAAGAAGAAACATGTCTTTACATATGTTGAGAGATGACTTCTAAATAACAAGAGATCAATATTTGCATGTTTCATATGGGAGTGTAGGAACAGTGTACATACAGGGCTTTAGTAAGATATATGTCTGTAAAGAACATATGCTTATTCATATGGCCCCCATTTCACATGACAGTGGCTGGTGGTGGGGGTGCCAGGAGGATGTACAATTGGAATGCGAGAAAACCAACAGCAATAAGAGAAGGACAGAAGGCACAAAGCACTGAAGGAGTCATGAGAGGCAGATGATTATAAGTCATAATGGTACAGAGATCAGTTTGCATTCTGATGATCTCAGAGAGGCAAAAAGTACCAGAAAGGAACAGAAGAAATTAACAATTGCCAAAAAAATTAAGAAAAAACCACACCTTACAAGAAATGACTGTGGCAGAGAATTAGTAATGGTTTATCAATATGGAATAAATCATATTTATATAAAGCTATATATTCCCATGGAATATCTATAGAATAACCAATGGGAGAGTGTGGACACACAGAAAAAGCAATGGCATCATGATTTCTACAAATGTTCTTTCTCCCAATATATTCATCGTTACTGAAAAATATGATACAAGTTGATAATATAGACAGACAAATTGTAAGTGCCCTAGCAGGAAAAAAGAGTCTGAATATTTTCTTAAGAACAAAATGTTCTGCACTATCTTGAAGGGATGTGAAGTGGTATCAAAAATTGTTAGAATCCTTTTGCTGCATCTCTGTTGGCCCAAAGAATAGCATCTTTAATGAACAATGACCTGGGTACTGCTTCAACATCTTGACATGGCCACAAACCATCTCAAAATTGCTGACCTCCATCAGAAATTGATAGTATTGATTCTAGCTTGGACATTTTCAGGAAAATGGAAAAGAATTTAACCACTTGTCTTTCTTTAGCTCTAGTTTTAAAGTAGTGATATTCTAAAAGTAAAAGCCAACAATATACCATAAATTAAGTGTCAAGCTACTAACAATAGCTATTAGGCAAGTAATACGTGATTCCATTTACCCATAAGAATATTTACACTAGAATAAAATCCTTAGAAAAGAGAGAGATGTTGCTAATCATTAGGAAAATCTGGAAAACCTTTCAAGAAAAAAGGCCTGAAAAGACAGGTTTTTAAATTTCAACCTCGCTAGTCATCTAAGAAACACAAACAAAATCAGTGAGATTCACCTACAAATAGTAAAAAAATAAAAAATCATAAGATGCAAGTTGAGCAAGCAGACAATGAAACAAGCATGCTGACAGAGAGTGGAACTTCCTTTTTAGAAAACAATCTGGGAAAAGCCTTTGACCTGGCTGTTTCAAGCTGGGAATCTACTCTGAGTAAATAATCTAAAATTCAAATAAAAATGTATGTAACCAGATGTCCCCTGAAACATTGCAGATGATACAAAGAAATGACTAGCAATGTAAGAATGGTTAAGTAAATTATATTATATTTATAATAGTACATACATGTTGTAAAGAGTTTTTAATTACACAGGAAAACACTCAAAATACTAAGCTGAAAAGCAGGACTTCACACTTTATGCTAGATGTGATGTCAAACTCATGCATGTGTGTGTGAATGTGTGAATGTGTGCTTTCACAACCATGCACACACTTTGAATATTGCATTCTGAGATCACTATCTCTCTAAAGACACACATTGTTTTTCTAATGACAAAAACCACATTATTTAAAGAATAAAAATTTCATAGTTTTCCAATAATGCTGTGCAGCTAGAACAAAATATCATTTTGGACTTATTAAATTTGGTTAACAATAAGTGAGAATTATGAGCTTCCAGACAAGGTCTAGGCATGGTAAAGTACAGCCTATCTTAACTACATGCACATTATCCATTTAAACAAGCTGAAAGCCAAACATTTTGGGATATCAAATAACACTTATGATTTAGATATATTTGGTATATGAAAAGCAAATCATTCTTTGTACTGAGCCATGCCAAGAATCTTTATTAACTTGTAAACTTCAGACAAAGCAGAATATATTTGAAACAACATAAAACACACTTTTTGCCAAGATTCTATATAGATCCTACAGTTCTTCCAAACAAGCCTAAACTTAATGTTTAACTTAATTTTGACCATTAAACATTTATAACCTTTTGCTGTCAAGAGATGTAAAATCTGTTTCTCCTGAGTCTATAGCTTTTAGACTTCGTTGCTGTGTAAAATGTTTTTATTTCTACACTATAGATGAGTGCCAAATCAAATGAAAGGTCTTCTTTCTCTTCCCCAGGAAAAGATATTACAAAGACTAGTATTGTCAATGAATTGACAGAAATTATTTATCAATACCAATAGAAGTGGAAAAGCTTTTAATTTCTCTCAACCCTAAAACTAGTTTCCATGATTATGTTAGCATCAGAACAAAACTAATTTTGAAATGTCTCCTCTGTTTTGTGATGTGGTCCAAAATGGGAATGGATCTTTGTTTGACAATAGACACTGATGGGCACTCTAAAGGCTTCCTGATGATATAGGGGACCTTTTCTCCAATTCTTGCTTTTCTGTCTTTGGTCACGGTCATTTCTAAGAGTACAATTTCCTTTTCTTATAGAAAAAAGACTATTTCTAAAATTAATCTTGTTGAAGCATGATCAGAACAATTTTTGAGCATAAATTCCCAATTTACTTAAAATAACTTTTCTTGAAATTCTACACAGAAGTGGAATACCTGTGCTCATTTTTACCGTGTACCTGCATGACAATGTGTTCATACAGCACTTTATAAAAGGTAATAGCATTCAAATCCAAATACAAGACAATTTTGAATATAAAGAATTAATCACGTCAATTTGGAGGGATTATTGGAACAAAAAAGTGACAATTAAATGATACTTGATTTCTACCTCCTTTCTAAGGCAATTTCCAACTTTGGAAATATAACTCTGGGGAGTGATATTAAAGTGGCTCAAACAAATTTAAAAATAATTAAAAATGGCTCTATAATAAATTTTTAAAGCCAAAGAATTTTCAAAAATCTCAGTTATTTAGAGACATTGGATCTGCAGAATTTTAACATATCACATTTACTAGTTGTTTTTTTCATTTCTTGATGCTACTTGTATTTTCTCATTTTTATATTAACTTTGTATAACTTGTTTTAAATAATTGAAAGACAAAGTAAGTAGCAGATAGCTCATTGGCCTATAATTTCTTTTATTGTTGTTTTGTTTTTCTTTTTGGTGTTGGACTGGGGATTAAACCCAGCAGCACTTAACCACCCACTCATATTCCCAGCCTTTTAAAAATATTTTTATTTTGAGAAAGGCAAGTTTTCAAAAACTGAAAATTTGTTCACCTATCAATATTTTTACAAAGAAACTTTAAAACAAATGAAGAAAAAAGAATATATGTAGCTGAGCCGGGTGCCACATACCTGTAATCCCAGCAGCTCAGGAGGCTGAGGCAGGAGGATCGCAAGTTCACAGCCAGCCTCAGCAAAAGTGAGGTGCTAAGCAGCTCAGTGAGACCTTGTCTCTAAATGAAATACAAAATAGGGCTGGGCACATGACTTAGTGGTTGAGTGTTATTGAATGAAATCTCCAGTACCGCCCCCCCAAAAGGAATATATGTTCATAAAAGAAGTGTATTTTTAAACCATGCAACTATTGTTATTATTGACATTTAAATTTTTTAGGTAAATTTACATGTAGGAAAATGCATAAATCCTAACAGTACAATTTCTACAAATGGATACATGTCTGTAACCCTTACCCATAGGATGACAAAGAACATTTTCATCTCCTTAGAAAATACCCTCATGTCTATTTAGTCTCTTTTTAGTCAATCTGTCCTCCCAGAGGCAATATCTTTTTTATTTTTTTAAAATCATGCATTAGGGGCTGGAGGTGTATCTCAGTGGTAGAGCACTAGCCTAGCCTGTGTGAAACACTGGGTTTGATCCTATCACCACATAAAAATAAATAAATAAAAATAAAAGTATTGAGTCCATCTATTATTAAAAATATGTTTTTAAAAAAACATGCATTAGATTTGCTCTAAAACTTCCTAGAAATGCAATCATACAAGTGTATTCTTTTTGTCTTGGTCCTTCTACTCACCTATCTCATGTATGTGTGTGAGATTCATCCATGTTGCTACATGTGCCAGTAGTTCCCTCATTTTTGTTACTGAGTAATATTCTCTTGTAAAACTGTTTCAAAATTTGCTTACTTATTCTCCTATTGATGAGTAGGTAGGTACTTATGGATAAGCTGCTATGAACATTTTAATAAGTCTTGTGTGGGATAAATTTTTACTTCTTGTGGGTAAATAGTGGATTGCTGGATCAAGGGAAGGTCATGCAATCTTCTCAAAAAAAAAAATACAAAACTTTTCCCAAAGTAATTATAACATTTAACATTCCTACCAGCAAGGTATGAGAGTTCAGCAGTTCCAAGTCCTCACCAATATATCGTGTTGTCAGTCTTTATAATTTTGGCCACCCCAGTATATATATAGTGCTAGCTCATTGTGGTGGTAAATGTCTTTTACCAAAGACTAAGATGCTCACCACTCCTTACTGTGTTTCATTGGACATTCATATAAATACCTTTGGGAAGTGTCCCTTGCAATATTTTCTCCATTTTATTGAGCCTTTTCCTATTGAACATAGAAGTTTTGTATTATATTATATTGATTCAAGTCCTTTCTCAGATATACTTTACAAATTTTTCACCTGTTAGTGGCTTGCTTACTCATTTACTTAATTATGTCTTTTGGTGAGGAATCTGCCTTTTCAATTTCTATGGTTATTTCCTAAATTATGTCAAAAATATCTTGACCTACCACTAATTTGAAAAATGGTATACTATATTTTCTTCTAGAAGTGCTAGAGTTTTAGCTTTTACTTTTAGTGTTTTGATTCACCTTCAATTAAGTGTGTGTGTGTGTGTGTGTGTGTGTGTGTGTGTGTGTGTGTGTGTTATGAAGTAGGGGATGTAGATTCCTAATTTTTCCCATATGGATAGCAAGTTATTTTTATATCACTTACTAACAAGACTCTTCATTCTTCATTTACTTGCTTTGCTGTCTTGAAAAAAAGTTATCTTATAAATATGTGTCTATTTATGTACCCAGTTCTATTCCCTTCATTTATTTGTCTATTCTTATGTGAAAACTCACAACCTTTGATTGCTGTATTTTTATAGCAGTCTAGAACCAGGTAAAAATTGCTCTTATTTTTCAAGATTATTTTCACTATACTAGATTCTTTGTTTTTACATATAATTTTAGAGCAAGCTTGTTAATTCCTACAAATTAAAAGTTTCCTGGGGTAAAGATTAATTTTAACCAGTAAACTAATTCAGGAAGAATTAACATCATAACAATATTAAGTCTTCTGATCCATGATCATGGTATAATCTCTCCATTTATTTAAGGCTTTTTTTTATTTTTTTCAGCAACGTTTTGTAGTTTTTAGTATAGAGATTATGCATGTATTTCATTAAATTTATTCCTAAGAACTTTTTACTTTCTGCCACTATTATAAATGAAGTTTTAAAATTTGATTCCCAATTGTCCATTGTATTTGTAAATTTGATTAGCTTTGTATTGACTTGAATGCTGAGATCTTGCTAAACTCATTTATCAGTTCAAGTCATTTTTTAAACTAGTCCTTACAATTATCTATGTACACATTTATGTCATCCATGAATAAAGGCCATTTTATTCTTTACATACTGTGTACTATTCATTTTTTTCTTGTGTTAGTGTTGAGCAGACTAGTAAATAGGGGTGTGAGAACAGACATTATTTCCTTATTCCCAACTTACGAGAAAAGTAGTTTTCCACTGCTTATAAGTATGATATTTACTGTTGAGTATTTTTAATATGGCTTTTACCAAATATCCCTACAAATAATTCTTTGCTGGGGTGGGAATAGGTACTGTCTTTTGCACTGTATGCTGTTTAGCAGAAGCCCTGGCTTTTTCCAACTACATGGCAATAGGTAAAACTTTTCTCCTGGTTGTGACACCCAAAATCATCTCCAGACATAGCATAATGTCCCTGTGGTCAAAGTTATCACCACTTGAGAATCACTTACCTAAACCAGAAATGGGTCAGGCCTAGACACAGAACATTCTAGCTGACTTCATCAGAGAGATCTTCAGATGGCTTCCTGGGTAGAGACTTGGGTCTTCTGAATTGTAAGTAGACTTGCTTGATTCATTGATTCAGACCCCTTTGCCTATTGATATGCTATCTCAGTCTGTTTGGGCTGCTATAAGCAAACTGGGTACCTTGTAAACAATAGATATTTCTCACACTTATGGAGATTTGGAGATCCAAGATCAAAGGGCCAGCAATTCTGCGTCTGGCAAGGTTGTGCTGCCCCATAGACGGTAACTTTTCACTGTGTCCTCACATGACAGAATGGCAACTGAATTTCCCAGGATCTCATTTAGAAGGGCACTACTTGCGTTTGTGAGGCTTAATTAGTTTTCATGATCTAATAAGCTCTCAAAGTTTCTACCTTCTACTACTATCATCTTAGGAGTGAAGATTTCAATGCATGAATCTCAGAGGGGCACAAACACCAGACCACAACATAGGCTCTGCTTCACTGTCACAGGTGTAGTACTTACGTGAAACAGGAATGATGGAACATAGGACCCCTAAGATGCTGCAGTATCCCCCTCAAAGGAGTCATTCTCAGGCCTCCAAGCTTTCTATGTCTATCAGAGATAGAATAGGACAACAGCAGCCTTCTTCATCAACCTTATTTGTCTTACCCAAACAATTAGAGCCAAGACTTTTTCTTAACTCCAATATAAGGTTATTACAGGGGTGAGAATGACTTAGTAAGCTTGCTTCTTAAAAAAGAAAAAAGGCTACATGGTTTATACAACTTTATCACAAATGCTTTTCAAATGTAACAAGTTTGACAGACTCAGAACAATCTATTAATTTACTTTTATTGGTTCTTTTAGGTTATACATGACAATAAGAGTCATTTTGGCATAAATATAAAAGCATGGGATTATATAAATGATAAATTTACTTATAATTAATTATAATTTTCTCTAATTCAGGCCCAGTACTTCTCCTTCCACTCCCCTTCCTCCTATGCCTATTCCCTTCCCTCTACTCTACTAATTTTTTCTACTATTATATAGGGGTTTTTTCATTTGAATATTTTAAACAACCAAACCTTTCTGTGTAATTGCATAATAAGTCAATGTTTCCCAACCTCTCTGCCACATGCTAGTGGAAGAACTAAAATATTTATGTGCTAAGATAACTTTGTATACTGGAAAAATATACATGTTTTTGTTTTTCAAATAGCTTTGTCTTGATAAAATTCAAAGTGTATATATATATATATGTATATACATATATATATATATACACATATATATATGCAAATATTGATATTTGCTTCTACGGGTTGAACCCAGGGACACTTAACCACTGAGCCACATCCCCAGCCCTTTTTATGTTTTATTTAGAGACAGGGTCTTGCTGAGTTGCTTAGGGCCTAGCTGAGTTGCTGAGGCTGGCTTTGAACTCATGATCGTCCTGCCTCAGCCTCTCGAGCTACTGGGATTACAGGTGTGAATCACCGTACATGGAAAATTCATAATAATTTTCAAGTGACTTTTTCTCATGAAATATTTTCTTCACACTTTATAGATACTGGAGTCATTTTTAAAAAAATAAGGTTTGCAAAGTTTTGTGACATTAGAACAGATCAGGAACAAGGAACCTAGGCAAAATGCAGAAATACAAAGTAATAGAAGCTATGATCATCAAGAAACATGAATCATTTGATAGTTTTCTAAGATCCAATATGAACAGAACTGGTTAACAGAGATGAAGGACATGTACTATGAAACCAAAAATGTTGTGAAAAGAAAATAAGCAGTTGGATGGAAATTAATAAATCTAGAAGTGTATTACAATGTCCAAGTAAGTTATAAATGTGTACATCATCTCAACTTCATCACCAAAATGTTTTTAATTCAATCTTCTTTGGGGAAATTAATATTCATGAGATTGTACCTCCAAACACATAATAAAAACAGAATTCCAATTACTGAAAAACACTGTAATAAAATGGCTGAAACTATTCTATAATGTGTAAGTCCACCTTCATACAAAAATCTAAAGCATTTTAATTCATAAAACAGAATTTCTATTCCAAGCCATTTATATGGGAAATGCCATTAATAAGATTTTCTTGTGGAAATTTGAACATAATATAGCTTCAATGTATGCTTAATTTGACATATCCAAAGAAGAAACATCTTCAAGATGTTCCAAGTAGGAAGCCCATTCCAATTGCAAATGACTTGTGTTTATGGATGTGATTAACAAACTGTAAGCACTTTCAGCCTTAGAAAA